CCCCTCCCACCGCTCTCCCTCCTCCCCTTCCCCCGCCCAGCCGCGGGTCTCGGCTCTGGGGCCCCGAGCGCGGCGGAGGCTCAGTCTGCCTGCGGGACCGGCCGGAGCCCGGGGTGCCCGCGTCCCCCGCGGCCCTTTTTTTTTTTCTTTGCGGAGAGTCGGAGTCTCCGCGCGTCGCCATTTCTAGACCCGGCGGCCGCTTTCCGAGCCTCCTCGGCGGCGCCGGCACCGCTCCCCGGCCGGGCTCCGGGGTGCTGCTCGTGCGTTCCGGGCTCCGGCCCGGTGGGGCTCCGAGCTCCGCTCTCCGGGGCTCTGGAGGCGTTCGGTTGGATTTGGGCCGGGGAGCCGGGACCCGAGGAGCTCAGAGATGAGAGCCCGGCCTTGGCGGCCTTCGTCTTCCAGGTAACGGGGCCGCTCCACCTCCCCTCCGCCCGGATGCGCGGTGCCGCCCTCGGCCCCGTCCCAGCTCGGGCCGCGGTGCTCAGCTCGGTGGCGCGAGGTCCCGGGCAGGGGCGCCCAGCACCCCACCTCCGGCCCCGGGAGCCCGGCTCTTCTCCTGGCACTGCCCGCGCCCCCTCCCCGGCGGGTCTCGGCCCCCCCTTTAGTTTGATCCCTCCGGTGTCGGGGAAAGAGGGGCTTGTTCATTGCCTAGATGAGACTTTTTCTCTTTGGAAATAGACAAGCTGGGGAGCAGTGGAGTTTGGGGTTCTCGGCATCAGTAGCGGGAGACTGCTTTGGACCGGTGTTGCCGGGTTCGGGCCCCAGGAGGTGGGCTGGGAGAACGGGGTGGGGGTGGGGTCGCGGGGTGCCCGGGCTCCTCTGCTGTCTTGCAAAGTTTCAAGATCAAAGTCTTCTTTCTGAGTGACTGGGTTTCTGGTTTTGGGGTGCTAGGGTAGAGGTGTATCCTGAGCTGGATTCTTGGTGGGGGGGGAGTATGAGCAACATTTCCATGTGGGACGGGGTGTGTGTGTGGGGGGGTGCACCTTGAATCTGGGGGTCCGGGAAGCCCGTTCTGCCTACCGCTGAGCAGACTGCTTTGGGGGGGGGAGGAACTAATAGATTTTTCAGAAGTGGGTTGGGGGAGCGCAGAGGGAGGGGCGCGTGGGGCGGGGGAGGAATGGGAACCAGATGCCGGAGAAGGGCACGTTTATTGCTGGAGTTATCTGTGCTGAGCTGAATGGGGGAAATTTACCAAAATTGGTTTCACCTGCACGCGGCCGGGCGGCTGGCTGGGGTGCAGGTCTTTGGTGTTGATGCCATCCGTCAAGGGAGGGGTGTGTGTGGGGGGGGGTGCACGCCCAGCCGGATTTTGGAAGGTCGAGTCTTAGACTTCCCAGGACCCTCCAGCCACCATCCCCGCCTTTGCTTCCAGCTCCTTCCCCGTCCCCCCCCCAACTCCTTTTCCCCCTTCCCTCCACCCCTTAAAAAGTGAGTGGGGAGCTCAGATTTCACCTTTGAAAAAGCTGTGTCGGATACTTGAGATGAGCACCTCTCGGATAGCTGAGTTGCTTGATTTGAATTTGAGGAGTTGAAAAGCCTCTTTACTTTCTTGCTTTGATGTTGGGTAGATCTGGTTTTGATTAGATCAATACTTTTTTTCTCTCTCTCTCCCTCTCTCCCTCCCTCCTCCTCTCCCCTCCTTCCTTTTCTTTCCAGAGAGGAGGCTCAGATGAGCCCCTGCTGACTTGAGAGAGTGAGAGAGAGTGAGAGACCAAGCCCATTGCTGCGAGGAACTGGAAGAAGAAGGAAAAAAGCCCCAGCTCACTGAGCAGTGCTCGCTCCTCACCATGAGCAGCGCTGTGTTGGTGACTCGCCTCCCGGATGCCAGCAGCAGCTTCCATGAAGATGCCCCTCGGCCCCCTGTTCCAGGGGAAGAAGGGGAGACCCCAGTGTGCCAGCCAGGCGTGGGCAAGGGCCAGGCCACCAAGCCCATGCCTGTCTCCTCCAACGCCAGGAGGAATGAAGATGGTTTAGGGGAACCTGAGGGGCGGGCATCCCCCGATTCTCCTCTGACCAGGTGGACCAAGTCCTTACACTCCTTGTTGGGTGACCAGGACGGTGCTTACCTCTTCCGGACTTTCCTGGAGAGGGAGAAATGTGTGGATACCCTGGACTTCTGGTTCGCCTGCAATGGATTCAGGCAGATGAACCTGAAGGATACCAAAACTTTGCGAGTAGCCAAAGCCATCTACAAGAGGTACATCGAGAACAACAGCATTGTCTCCAAGCAGCTGAAACCTGCCACCAAGACCTACATAAGAGATAACATCAAGAAGCAGCAGATCGACTCCATCATGTTTGACCAGGCGCAGACTGAGATCCAGGCGGTGATGGAGGAAAATGCCTACCAGATGTTTTTGACTTCTGATATATACCTCGAGTACGTGAGGAGTGGGGGAGAAAACACAGCTTACATGAGTAGCGCGGGACTGGGAAGCCTGAAGGTCCTGTGTGGCTACCTTCCCACCTTGAATGAAGAAGAGGAATGGACTTGTGCCGACTTCAAGTGCAAACTTTCACCTACAGTGGTGGGCTTATCCAGCAAAACTCTGAGGGCCACAGCAAGCATGAGGTCTACGGAAACCATTGAAAATGGATACAGGTAAGACTTTTGGCTGGGGCTGGTGGGGGTGGGTGGGGGTGGGGCTTAAAGGATGAGTTGGACTTTACAGATGTTTCGAATTAAGTTGGATGGATGGATGGATGTGCTGTGGAGGCTGACAAAGGTCTGTTGAGAGCTAGAACCGCTGGCCAGGAACTCTTTGATCTTGCTTCTTGTTTTTCTAAAGGGGGCGGGGGAGGGTGTGGAGAGGGGAGGGTGATGCACACAGCTGAATACCTACTCTCTTCCAGTGCTGACTTCAAACAGTGGCAAGCTGTATTCATTAATGTGGGTTACTTATTATCCTGGGCTAGTAGTGTCTCTGAAAGGGAGGGGTGGGGGAGGTGGGCAGGAAGAGACACCCAGAGAGAATGAATGAGGGGAAATGTGTGTATGTGGGGGAGAGAGTCAGCCAAAGCTGCTTCTGAGTCACCAGACCCACTAAGCACCAGTTTGGAAAGGGGTCATTTCACCACTCATCAGCGAAGTGGAATTAATGTGGTTGGGGTGGCAGCTGGGTTGTGGTAGAGTCACAGGAAATAATGTGTACACCCATGGAGGGCTAAGTGGGAGCTTTTGAACTTTTATGTCAAGATAAGAGCCAGCAATTGGCTTAACAACCTCACTTGTTCTCTTTGTCAAATTAGATATTTACTCAGCAAGAAAGGCTTCTGACTTGGGGGAAGGCCTTGTGACTTTCCTCAAATGAAGGACCCTTAACTTGGCTTTGTGAATCTGCTGTGTTGTGAGTCTAGGTTTTAAGTACTTGTAAGCCAAGGTCAGACCTCAGTTGATGGTTTTGTTGCTTGGTTTTCTTGGAGAAGAAACAGTCTCTGGGCCGTGGAGTACATTCTCTCTTTGAGGATTCAGAGGCCTTTACCAAATGGCCTTAAAATGGTCTTAAGATTCTTGGCCCTTGCAGGCAACTTCAGACCTCCTGTTAGAAGGAGTTTTTTTTTTTTTTTTTCCTGTTTCTTCACCTCTCCCTTGTTTGAAATATCAGATAGGAAAATGCTCTGGTTAATTCTAGGTTGTTGCTTATGGCATGCAAGGGAAGAGGTGCTGCCGTGCACTTGATTGCTATCTGCATGGTTTATTTGTCCTTTGTAGATTTATTTCTCTGTGGGGGACCAGGATGTATTTGACAGTCATCTCTGGAAATCTCCGTTGTGTAGAGCGTGGCCTCCAATGTCTGGCTGCTAGAGGAGGGAAAGGTTCTTGATAGCTGAGATAGATAGATAGATAGATAGATAGATAGATAGATAGATAGATAGATAGATAGATAGATAGATAGATAGATTTTAGTCTAACAGACTAGGAGCTTGACTACTGGTGAGAAGAGGAAGGACTTGTTCTTTAGCCACTAGGGGGTGCTCATCCAACCTCAGGAACCAGTGTACCAATGCTCAGACATCTGGTCTACACCTAAATGGAACTGTTCAGACTTTTGCAAGGAAGCATAAGATCACATGAGGGAATTGTTTCCGAATCCTTATGCAAATCAGGCTCATGAAGTCAGGCTATTTTGGAGGAAGTTTTCTGGGGCTATCTCTGGGCACCTACCCCATTTGTTCTGCTGGGAGGACATGTGGGTAAACCTGTGGGTGCTGGGTGCTGGCCTCTGCCCTGCAGCTTGGCAGCTGTGGCTGACATTCCTTAAGGCCAGTGGTAAGGCTGCTGCTTGCAGGGGCCGTCTCACAGTGGGGCTTCTGTGTTTCCAGTGTGGGTCCGGAGCATCACCTTTGTAAATAGCTGTGTGTGGTTTGGGGTGTCAACAGTAAGAAAGTGCTGCTCAGGCGGGATACTCCTTTGACTCCTTTCCTGGGTGGGCGGTGGAGACCTAGCCCTGGTTTGCCTTCCAGAGGCTTCCTCTGGCATATTGCCAGCGTTACGCAGGGATGAGATCCTGGAGCCAGGGATGTCCTCTTTGATCAGGATCTGTGGGCATCATTGATAGATGGAGGACTAAATCTTGCGTTTCCTCCTGCTGTGGGGTTGGACCAAAACATTTTACCTGGACTCTATGTAGCCTTGTATTGTCAAAGAGAATTGGAGACCAACCAGGTGATGTGATTTCATGTTACCAGGCAAGATGTGGGAGAGTCTGTATAACATGTTGGAAGGTTATTTGAAGGCCTAGGTTCCAGACCTGCTCTCCTTACTTCCTACCTGGCTTGAGGCCTCCTGTAACTCTGTGTATCCGTCTGTAAGATGGGTGGACACCATCCTACTTTGTTTATGTCACTGGCTTGTTCTGAGGATCAGAATAATACACATGAAAGCCTTTTGTAAGGGAAATGTTTTGAAGAGCTGTCAAGTGTTATAATTAGTGTAATTAATGATAATAATTGGGTATGTAGAAAGGGTAACCGGGTTGGGTTAGCATGTCACTTTTAAATAGTGACTCTTGGCGGGGTTTTAGCCCGTGTTTCATTGGAAGGTTTGGGAGACTGGCCCCTCCTCCCACACTTCAGCTATTTTTACTTCCTGAACGTACACGAGTCTATCTTTATAGCAGTCAGTTCTTGGAACTGTTGGGTTTCAGTCCATCCCTTCTGGCCTTGGGCAGAGCACCTAGCACTTGGGATAGTTGTTAGAAAAAAAAAATGAATGAATCAGAAAACAGCCTGTGGGGAAGGAGGGTCTGTCTTCTTCTGCTCTTGAGAAATCCTGTTGGTGGTCAAAATGCCCAAGGCCCTGGCTGGCCCTCCCAGACCTGTGTTTACCCCTGGCCGCTCCAAAGGAGCCTCATTTTTGAACTGACTTGTTTGTGTCCTTACTGATGGGGTGTCAGGTTGAGCAGAAATAGTTGGGGCGGGAAAGCAGGACTATCCTTGGAGGGAAGGGCTCGTGGTGGGCCAGTGGCTGAGAGGAATGCCTGGGGTGTTGGCGGCTCTCTATAAATAACCCCAGGCTGAAGGGACCTGCTGGGGTGAGCACGTGGAGAAACCCCTGCACACAAACACCTACACAGGGTCCAGGTGTGCCGAGAGGGTCTGTGGGCTCAGGCGCTCAGCCCAGCACTTATTTTAGGAAGAGGATAGTGTGGTGCCCACAGAGAAGCTCCCCTGTGCCCTTCCCTTCCGCCCAGACTCTTGGCAGGCCTCATCTGCCTGCCATTGGGTGCTCTGCTCTGGCCTCCGTAGAAATCCCCTCTTGGGCCAGTAGGTGGCCTTCTGCCGGCTGCACAGCAGCTTCCAGTGAACTCGCTGATGGAGTTGCTTTGTCTTTCTTTCTTTTTTTTTTACGCAAAGCCATTGGAATTGAGCTTCAATTATCAAAGAAAGTGATGCCATAGGAAAGATATGTGGGAAGCAGCAGCCGTGAGCAGGGAGGGGACATGCGCTGCTCCAGGCAGCTGGCCCAGATGCACTTGTCAGACTGCCTGGTTCTACAAGGCCCTGACCCCTCCGTTCACACCCCCTGGCTCCTGCCACTGACAGCACTCATGGAAGCGAGGGTGTCACCATTTGGGCAGTGACCTTGGGAGGAAATTGTCTTGTGGCTCTTAGTTCTGAGCACAGCCCTTAGAAGCACATCCCTTTCTGCATGGTCCTTCTGAGGGAGAGGCCTCCTTTTGCTCTGGGGTCTGGAGAAGGAGCTAGGTCCCAGGAGCCTCTGCTACCTGCTGGCCCAAGGCCCCTCTCTTGCCTGCTCAAGTGTCAGGGTTGGCCTGTCAATGTCTGTCCCCAGGCAGTGTGTGGACAGACCACAGGCCTCTGGGTCCTGCAGGAATGCAAAGATTCTTGCAGCAACTGGACTCACAACAGCCCTAGGGGGGGAAAAATCATCAAAGCATCTGGGTACAATTACCGCAGCATGCTCGAGTTTCTTTCCTTTCCTTTCCATTCCTTTAAGTAATCACAAGAAAACAGCTCTAATCCGTTTTCTTAAAATTATGTGGTACTTTGGAGAGAGTTCTGGGTACTTAAAGTTTCTGTCTTAAGTTTCTGTTCTCTTCCCCACAGCCTACCTCCTTCCCCTGCCTGTCTTGTTATGATTGTAGGAAAACCCAAGTCCTTTACTGCAGTCAACCCAGTTAAGAGCTGGATATTCCATTTTTAATGACTGGTCTCACAGTAGCCCTCTATTTTGGAAGTGGAGGGAGGAGTTTATTTTGGGCTGCAGGTGTGAAAAGAGTTCAAGTCTATGTGTTCACGCATGGGGATCTGAGTTAGGTGTCTCTTTCTGTTGGTGAGGAAGGAATTTCTATTGAGTCATTTTCTCCCTGTGGAACTGAAGCCTAAGTTTGAAGCTTGTTGATGTGTTAATACCACCAAGATAGCAGGGCTGAGGGCATGGGAAAAGTGTTTGAATGCTATTTAAGGCTGCTTTGGCCTTTTTGATCTTGCACTATGTCTCTTTTAAAACTTTTCAGCAACCCATTTGATGGATGTAGGCCTTTGAAGAAGGCTCAAGCAGGTTTTGAGTTCCTCCCACATGCCACCTACTACTTTTTGTATTGGAGATACATGTGCACAGACATGGCTAGGCCCCATGGAGCTCTGTCTAGGACCCAGGACTGACATTCAGCAGCATAAGTTATGATTACTACTCAGAACAGGGGCTCCTCAGATTTTGTGTGTGCATGTGTGTGTCTGTGTCTGTATGGGTATAGGTATGTGTTGGTACCAGGGCTTGGGCACTGTTCCTTAGCTTTTTCACTCAAGGCTGGCGTTCTACCACTTGAGCCATACCTCCACTTCCAGCTTTTTGCTGGTTAATTGGAGATAAGAGTCTCACACACTGCCCTGCCCAAGCTGGCTTCAAACCACTGTTCTCAGATCCTCCTGAGTAGCTGGGATGATAGGCGTGAGCGCCACGGGCACACAGCTTCTCCTTTATGATTGGTGGTGAAGTTCCTGGAGTGTTACCGTGGCACCCACAATTATACCACCCTTGAGGGGTCCTGCAGAGTGCGTGAGCACCTGGAGCAGGTGGCCTGTGTGTGAACCTGTCACACACAGCACAGAATACCCAGTTGAGGCCGTGTCTGGGCCCAGGGAATGGACAGCCATGCCAGCACCAGCTCTTAGCCTCTTCCCGCCAAGAGGATAAGGAATTGGCTTATCACTAGGTTCTGACAATAGGAGGGGACATGAAGAGTCACCTTGCCTCTGCTTTGGGCCAGTGGTCCTGTCCACCCCCTAGAGAGCTTGGTACTTGGGGCTATTTAGATTGGGTGAAAACTTGGAGCATTCTTTAGACTGTCCCCATCTCCATGATCTCCTTGACCATGTAGAAATCCTCCCTCCCTCCCTCCCTCCCTCCTCCCCCCCTCCCCTCCTTTCCCACCTTCCTTCCCTCACTTATTTCCCCCTGTTCTGCCTCTAGTGGTGATGGTGAGCAGGAAACCAAGCTTCTTCCTTTCGAGTGCCCCATTGGCTAGAAGGCTGCTTCTTGGATCATCACTCTTGACGCCTCTCAGAGAAACCAGCTGCCTCCCCACTTGCTCGCTCCCTGCCATCTTGGGTGTCTGGGAACCCTAGGTTGAGGATGCAGGGCTGAGGAGTAAGCATGGAAAAATCTTAACTGTTCGCACTGCATATTCCTAAGAAGTCCCAGCATAGAACAAGATAGAACAAGATCATTGTTTCTGGGACAGGGCATCGTCATCACCTGGTGGAAAGTTTACACAGTGGGTTCATGTAAAGCACTTGGGCTTGAACCTTCTGGAGAATTCCATGTCTTACCGACATTCTAGGGCCTGTTCCAGCCTAGTGCAGTGGGCCAGGACCAAGGTCTGTGCTGACGGCGCTCTGTGATGGCCGAGTCTCCAATGGGGTTGCTTTGACCAGGTGCCCGGGGTCTTGAGGACTCTCTTAACACAATAGGGCAAGCGGTTCACTGAGTACCTACTGTGTGCCAGCCCTGTCTTGGGAGCTGGGTGCACAGCATTGACCAGGCATTGTGCACAACCTGTGGTGTACTGGCATCTCTCAGTGTGGGGCATCGGGTTAGACATCTGTAGGATTTGCTCTAGGATCCTGTCACAGACAGGGCTGCTGCCCCCCCCCCCTTTTCTGTCCATCTCTGCTGTTCCCTGTTGACTTCTGCACAACCAGTGGGGTCAGGGAACGTCCCACTGGGCTGCCCCTCCTTGTGGTCCAACTGGTTGTACCCATAAGGCCCTGCATGCTCCTGGGAGCCCTTCCTGCCAGGACCTCCCCACCCGCCCCCTGTTCACTCCTGTCCCCCTGCACCAACATTACTAGTCTGACCGGTCAGACCTCCACTTTTCCTAGTCTGGAGAAAGCTCCCCCCCACCTGCCTTTCTTGTACCCCAGTCCTGGATATCATCTCCTCAAATTCCTGCTCAGTTGTCATGATGCACCTTGTTCCCATCTGGGTCCCCTGTGCTGGTTGCTCACAACTTGCCTCCTGTTCTAGAACTTTCTGGAACCTCCTGTATTAGGAGGCAGGAGGAGCGGTTGAGTGATAGTCAGGTGAGTTCATGCCAGGTCTACAGTTCTAGCTGTGTGGCCCAGGCCCCAGGCTGCTGTCCTGTCTGAGGCCTCATCTGGAAAATGGGCACAGCATAGCAATCCTCCTGCCGTAGCACCCCTTGTACTTTTCTTACGACATCACCACCCCACACGAGGTAATTGTGCCTTCCACTAGGCACCAGCTACCAGGAGACTGTAATGCCAGATGCTAGAGCTCAGCCTAACGCCTTACACACCGAGGGAGCAGGAACTCAGTGAGCATGTGCAGAAGGCTTACCGTGACCTTTCCTGTGCCCCTGTCATCTGCCAGCCCCAGGGCTATCTTTGTAGACCAGCTGCTGTGACCGCATGGAATAAGTTCTCCTCTCTTAGCCTGTCCTCTCTCAGACTGTCCTCTCTCCTCCAGTTGAGGTCCTGAGCTACTTGCTGAGCTGTTGATGGTTCAGCGAAGTAGCCTTGGGCTTTGCATATTTAGGCTGAACAACCCAGGGACGGTCCCTTCCTTCAGCTGGCTGACCTGTCTCCCCTCCCCCTAAGTCCCTGGCCGGTAACACAAGAGGAATGCGGCCCAGCAGGAGACAGGCACACTGGTTGTTCTAGGAGGAGATCAAGAGAACAAAATGAGGACCCAGAGGCCATGGAGACAAAAGGGTTGGAGACCCCTGAAGGAGGGGCCTGAGCCTTCCTTTGACACAGCTGTACTGCTCATTTCAGTCTTGGGGCCTGAGCCAGCCTGGGGGAAAAGAAGGCTGGGGGAAGGGACTGGGAGAGGCCCAGTGCCCCGCTGCCATGGGAGCCTCAAACATCCTCTTGAGCTCATCTGTCCAGCGACTGTGGGCACAGGTCCACATGGGAAGGCCTCACGAGACCTGTGGTTGTTCGCGAACAGATCCCAGGCAAGAGCTGGGATGCCTCCATTCTTTGGGGGACCCTGAAAGTGTGTTCTTTGGTCAGGCTTGGTTACAGAGGCTGGAAGGGGAAAGACTCCTGTCTCCACTGACTTCCCTCCTTCATCCACGGTCTTTGCTCCTTTTCCATAAAGGAATGCTTAGAACTTGGCTGCTTCTAGAATACTCTGGCAGACATCTTTCCCTTTGGAAGCAGAGAAACCGAGCCTGCTTTCTACCCAGGCTTCCCAGGTGGATTTCCAACCATAGAACAGAGGCAGGATTGGGGGGTTCCTGATGACGACCTGAGTTCCTGTGGGAGGATCACTGACCACAGTCTGGTTGTACTCCCCTCCCCCCCCCAGGTCCTTCAAGAGGAGCGATCCTGTGAATCCCTATCATGTAGGTTCCGGCTACGTCTTTGCACCAGCCACCAGCGCCAATGACAGCGAGATTTCCAGCGATGCTCTGACGGATGACTCCATGTCCATGACGGACAGCAGCGTGTAAGTATCTGCTGCTGCTCCCCATGGGTGCCTGCCAGGGGCACACTCCAGGGCACCCGGCTTTGTACATCCTGTGTGTGTGTGGGGGGTGCATGGTAGTTTGATGGGCAGATAAAGAGACAGCCTGGTGCTGGTCAAGGAGAGGGGCGTGGAGAACAGAGCGCTTGAAGGGAAAATGGAAATAGTGCCTTTTAACCAAAGAAAACCAAAGTACGGAAGAAGGGTGGGATGGGTTGTCTCTATCGGACCAACTGCTTGGCTGCTCTTTAAAGCTCAGGTCGCCTATCTGCAGAACCAATTGGTGGGACCCAGGCTGGTCTTAAAAGGGTCTGTGTTAGCCAGGCACAGGTGGCCCATGCCTGTAATCCCAGCTACTCAGGAGGCTGAGGTAGGAGGATCGCAGTTCTAAGACAGCCTGGGGAGAAAAGTCTGAGAGACTCTTATCTCCAGTTAACCAGTTTAAAAAAAAATCTGGAAGTAGAGCTGTGGCTCAAGTGGTAGAGCAACAGCCTGGAGTGAAAAAGCCAAGCAAGATTATAAGGCTCTGAGTTTAAGCACAAAAAAAGGGAGAGGTGGGTGGGTGGGGGGTGTCTGTGTTTTTGTAGGAAAAGGCATTGAATGGAGTTGGGAGTCAGAGAGCCAGCTGTCTCTAAAGGGCCACTGTGTGCGTTTGTACCCACATGGAAAGTTTCCGTGGTCATCCTTCAGCAAGTCCTGGGCAAAGTGCCAGCCCTCTGTCCTGGGACCCTAGGTAGTGGTTCTCCAAAGTAGTGCCTGGTCTTGGATCTTTTGCTGCTGGATGGCACTGATGTTTGAAAGCAATCCAAGTACTGAAGGCTGTGATAAGGTCACAGGCCATTCACCCGGCGGGGTTGGGCTTTGCGTTGTAGATTATTTGAAGGCTAGTCATGGCATCCTGATGCGGGGCCATGTGTGCACAGGAGGGAATCAGGGGGACATAGCAATGGATTGCCATCTTCTGGGGTTTTGATTGAGGAGACTCAGGGTGGAGCTTGGGCATGAGTGATCCTCCCCAAATTCTCTCACCCAACACCCTGTTCCAGAAAGGGCCTTTCAGGAATTAGAGTCAATATGCAACCCTAATCCTTCTGTACATCACTTTTTTAATAACAATTTTAAAAATTAAAAAAGAGAGGCGGACTAGAGACAGGATTTTGCCTGCTAAAGAGAATGATATTGTGAGTGGTGTTAAGTTCTGGCACACCTGACGTAGGCTTCATCCTTTTGAGCTTCCTAAGCTGGCCATCCATTCTTCCCAGGTGTTCGCAGCTCTCTGGGTTCTGTTGGCCGCCATTCCTGTTCCTGGGTTTGTAGCCTGGGGCCGGTTGGAGGAAAAGTTGCATTTAGTTGGGGGACTCTGTTATCGATGGTCTTGGTGGCTTTTACTTTGTCACCTCAGATTCTCTTGTGAGCAAAGGGTCAGGGGATATTTAAGGCAGAAAGTCCCATTTCTGTGGAAGAAGAGCATTTTGGCATAGGATCAGGAGTGCACACTTTTTAATCCACTATGGAGGGATGCAGGGTCTCAGAGAAGTGGGTTTTCTGTGTTACCTGGGCTCTTTAAGTATTTGTGATGGAAGAAACTTCAGTGAACTTATTTCTCATACATCTTGTCCTGTCTTGACTAAGTAGCATTAGAAAAGGCCTAGTTTATTATTTTTCTTTCTTATTATTATCACCATCAACATGATTATTATTATTGTTTTGTCTGCCAGAGTTTGAACTCAAGGGACTGGTACTTGTTCGGCTGCTGCTCTACCACTTGAGCCATGCCTCCAGCCCAGCTTTTTTGCTGGTTATTTTAGAGATAGAGTTATCTTGGCCTTTTCTACCCAACTTGCCTCTAGCCACCATCCTTCAGACCTCAACCCCTTCTGAGTAGCTAGGATTACCACTGTGAGCCACCAGCTCTAGCTCATAGTTTATTCTGGATTATTCCAAGAATTTAATATCAAGATCTGTTTTTATGTTACAATGTAGAACTATCTCAAAGCTATGAGTTTGTACAAGGTATGCTCTTGTATTTATTGCCTTTTTAAAATACTTTTTCCTCTTTGGGGCTGGCTACTGGCTCATATCTGTAATCCTAGCTACTCTAGAAGCTGAGATCTGAAGGTCTCAGTTCAAAGCCAGCTGGGGCAGAAAAGCCTGTCTGAGACTCTTAGTTCCAACGATTCAGCAAAAAGCTGGTTGTGCATTGTGGCTCAGATGGTAGCGTGCAAGCCTTGAGTGAAAAAAGCCAAGTGAAAGCACAAAGCCCTGAGTTCAAGCCACAGTACTGGCACCAAAAAGCACACAAACCCCTTTTGTTGTCTTTTTGTCATTCCACCTGCTGTCATGTTTTGCCCTGTATGCTTGCTTCTAGCAAATATCTCCTTCATGTATTAAGTAGGAGACTGTGCGTGGAGTAAGAAAGTGCATTGGAATTGAATGAAGGCATTGAGTGGCTCTCCTAAGTCTCGATGCAGTTTACTTAGTAGACTGTGAGCTTCTGTTTAGATTTCTTCGAGACTGTTTTTGGCCTGCTTCCTGGTCCTTGGCTGTATTTCAGTCCCCATCACGGAGGTGTTATTTTGGGTTCATGATGAGATAACTTGGGTGTGGTCCCATACTGGGGGCTGTGTAATCCTCACAGGACCCAATGGGAAAGGTAGCTGGTTACTGGAGGCTTTGACAGGCAGAAGGGAGGCCTGCTGTGGCCCTGGCCATGCACAGACTCAGCACTCAGATTTCAGTCAGACCTGGGCCCCTGGCCTTTGCCTGTTGTCATCTCCCAGGAGAAATGCTCCCGGGCTCAGTTGCTCATCAGATCTTTGTGCTCGGTTGGGTTTCCCTTTTTATTTAGTGATCGGAACGTTTTTGCCTTTTCCACAGGCTGGGGGAGGAGTGGCAGGGAGCACGTTCAGAGTCCTCCCGGCAGCCTATCTGCTTCCTCCTCTTTTACCATTTCCCCGCAGGAAGACGGCCTCGTTTCATTGAGAAGTGGCTTTAAAGCTCGCAACTCCTGCTGGGAAGGTGGCTCAGTGGTAGAGCGCTTGCCTTGCATGCCTGAGGCCCTGGGTTCGATTCCTCAGCACCACATAAGCAAAAAGAAAAAAGTCGGAAGTGGCGCTGTGGCTCAAGTGGTAGAGCACTAGCCTTGAGCTGAAGAGCTGAGGGACAGCGCCCAGGCCCAGAGTTCAGGCCCCACAACCGGACCCCAAAAAAAAAGAAACCAGACTAAAGCTCTCCACTCCCTTCTCATTATAGCTGAAGCACTGTGTGAAGTTGAAGTGTGGGGCAGTCACTTCTGGGGCTCACTTTTTGGGGGCTGGTCCCTATTCTAGGAGCAAAGCCACTTTGACACAGACAGAAAGAGGGCAAACAGCTTTCTTAGCAACTTCGAGGGGCAGACCAGATACCAGGCCACCTGGTGACAGAGTGTTTGGGTATTGGGTCTTGGCACAGCTGAGCTGTTGTGGATTCCTACAGAACCAACCAGGACAAAAGTCTCTGTGAGGCTAGAAGAGGTGGGGGCCTTGAGGGGGACCCCGATGTCCCTGGCAGCATTCTAGACCAAGTGGGCAGGCTGTGGGCTTCCCAGCTGTGCCCGCCCCCCACCGCCCCGCCCCGTGTGTTTAGACCAATGGGAGTGCAGTTTGCTTCAAGGACAAATCAGTGCCTGTTACTTGCTTCTGGGAGGAGGTTGTGTCATGATTCCCAGGGTGGGCACAAGGGACTCCAGAACCCAGAGCCTACGGGATGGGGGCTCACTCCCACTTAGAGGTCCCCATGGGTCCCAAGCTGCCATTGGGGCCAGGCAGGGGGCTGGTGTGAGTAGACTTGAACAAAGTGAAAGTGTGGGGTGGGCGATGGCTGACCATGGGTGTGGGTGGGTGTGACCCCGCCCTGTGCCAGGCAGTCACCTGGGATTCCCAGGGCTGGGCTTCGACCCTCTCTTCAGAGCTCTGCCAATTGTAGGCCTCGTGCAGATGAGAGCGCCAGGCAAGAAATAAAGTGTGTGGGGATGAAAAGCGGGGCTGAATCGCTTTCAGCCCATTGTTCATCCGGGAAGCTTAGAGGGGATAAGAGGGTAGCAGGGCCCCTTTGAAATTTCCTTGAACAAGTGAATAGGAGCGCCCCATAAAGCATGAAAAGAGCCCTGGCTGTTTCTCCTGGTCACAGTCACAATGGCCGGCGTGGGCTGTGGGGGGCTGGGGAGTGGGGCTGGCTGCCCTGCTGCGAGGTGGGAGGGGGAGCTGGGGTCACAGGCAGCCTTCAATAGACTCCAGAAGGTTGGAGTTCATTAGACACAAGCCCAGGGAAGCAATCTCATTTGCGACTGAACCAATTAAGTCCCAGGGGCCTTTGCAAGAGGCCTGGGTGTAGAAGGTGGGGCAGAGCCTGCCTGTCTGTGGGTCTTCTAGGGGAGTCGGCCTGGCCAGAGCTGGGCCATGCAGAGTGGGTAGGGTGTAGGGGGCCGGGGTCTTTGGAGAAACCCTTGCCTTCCCCGGAGTCCCACTGCTGGCTTCTGTTTTCCTCGCCAAGTAGAAATCCCTGTTAAAGATCGTCAGGGATTTGAGTCTCCATTATAGGCCTCTGCAAAGGTAGTTTTATGAGCCTGTTCCTCTGAAGCCTGCATTCTCGGAAGAAATGGCTTTCTAGCCGAGGTTTCTTTTGTTTTGTTTTTTCACTTACGTTAGCCACCAGACTTCCAGCAAAATCCTAAAGTGCAGTTCTTGGCGCACCAAGGAACAGGAGGAGCGCGGGGTCATTCTAGGGCACCAGGCTGAGAGGGGTGGAGGCCAGGAGTTGGGGCTCAGAAGCTGCCGCCCAAGTTCAGAGAAGCCCAGACAAGGCTGCGGAGGCGACCCCATGTCTTGTCTTGTTTTCAGGGTGTTGCTGCTGTCATCAGGACCGCCTGCCTTGGTAGCTCACCTCTGCTTCCAGTGCCCACCCCCCCCCCCCCCCCCCCATCAGCACAAGGTTGATTTCTTCCCATTCTGTCCTGGTGTGATGTGCATTCCCTTCTTTTTGTTTCCTTCTGTCCCACTGATGGTGTGTGTGCTGGACATGGGGGAACGTGTCCTGGTGAACTTCAGATATTACCTTATCTTATGCACCGGGCTTTGATGCTGCCCGCGGCTGTGGGCGGCCTCAGATTGGCTGCCAAATGCAGATGTGTGCGGGTGTGGGCGCCTGCCAGTTTCAAAGCTGCCAGAAAGCGACATCCAGGTTAGGTGGGCCACAGCAGAGTCAAAAGGCTAAGCTAATTGGCTCAGCTTAAATGGCAGCTAAGTGGAGTCCACACTTCAAAATCAGTGCTCCCCAGAAACAGCTGGGCCGGGCAGCAGGCTCGCTAGCTAAAATGCTTATAATTAAAGAAGACTGTAGAGGGTCCAAAACTCTGGCCCATGGGTTTTGAACAGCCAGGAAACTGATCAGACTAATAGAGCCTGAATAAAAGAGAGAAGAGAGGCCCTCTTTTTTGGGGGATGAGGGGCTGTTTTGGAAGAAGATTCTTGGCTTGGAGTGTATGGGAGGGGGAGCGGGGGTGGGGGGAAGAAGAGAATTAAAGCCACATTTTCTGGAAGGCTCTGGAAGCCTCTTTGAGCCTCTCTGAGCTAAATTCTCCCCAGTTTTGCTCTAGTCCCAGGTTGGTTTTCCTATAGTAAGATCCTTTTACCCCCTTCAGGCTGTGAAGGTGGGGTGGGATGGGAGGCTTCCAAAAACCTTGATTCCTCTTTGCTTGCCTTCACTCTGGCCCTCAGCTGCTTCCTCCCCTCCTCATTTTCTTTTCTACCTTCTATGGAGAAAGCAGGCAAGGTGTAAAAGCTTTCCTATTGATTTTCATCCAAAAGGAAAGAAGGAATTGGAGAACAGAATGGAAAATGGAGGGCAGAGTCCAATAGGGAATGGATAGGGGGCAGGGGGCCTCTTCTAGGGGTCCTGAAGCCTACTTTTCTAAGCATAGGTCCCAGGGAATGCTTGATGCTTGCACCCCCCCCCCACTGTCGGGAAACAATGGAACACAGCCCCACACTCTGAAGTTCCTGGAAGAGGAGCTGGCCAGGAGGGGTGCATGGCCATTCCTCTACCCCTTGTGTGGGACCCACACAACCCCAAATTCTCAAAGCCAGCGAGGACTAACCAACCAGTGGAGGAGGATTTCTAGAACACTCCCTGAATTTCCCATTTGGTGTTTCAGAATGTCAGGTGGTTCTTTGGGGCTTAGGCGATGGCCCCTCAAATTTAGACCACCCAGAAGCTTGGTTCTCTGGTTGGGGCTGGAATTGGCAGGTAAAAGTGAGGAACTTGAGGAGGGCATAGTTTGCCTAGTTAAGGACATCATTGTCCAGCAGTGACTTGGTTGGGAACCTGGGTTCGGATCCTGTTTTTAACCACTACAGTCAACCTACTCCCAGCAAGGCAGAGTTTCTGGTCATGGGTCAAATGAGGTTCCCGTGCCAGTGAGCTCCAGTGACATGTCAGATTTCTCCACCCATGTCTGACCTGCAGTAGGAGCTTGGCTTCAGGGAGTGGAGGCCTTGGGTTGGAGGTGCTTGCTTCCTGTAGGATTGTGGGTTGCGGTGTGTTCCACTGTGTAATAAACTCTCCCCAAATGACAACATTAAGTCTTGATCAAATCAGCTTCAGGCTGGGTGCTGGTTGCTCATGCTTGTAACCCTACCTACTCAGGGGGCTGAGAGCTGAGGGTCCTGGATTGAAGCCAGCTGGGACAGAAGAAGTCTAACAAAACTCTTACGTTCACCTAATCAGCAAAAAGCCAAAAGAAGAGGTGTGGCTCACCAGCCTTGAACAAACAAGCCAAGCAAGAGATTGAGGCCAGTATAGGCACCAAAAATAAAAATCAGCTTTAGAGCTGGGCGTGATAGTTCATGCCTGTAATCCTAGCTACTCAGGAGGCTGAGCTGAGGATCACAGCTTGAAGCCAGCCCAGGCAGGAAAGTCTGATAGACTCTTACCTCCAATTAAGCACCCACCAAAAAAAAATCAGGAAATGGAGCTGTGGCTGAAATGGTAGTAGAGTGCTAGTCTTGTGTGGAAAAGCTCTGGGACAGCCCTGAATTCACACCCCAGGATGGCACCGAATAAACAAAACAAAAATCAGCTTCAGGTTGCTGGATTTAGAACTACCCTCAAGGGGCCTGGTCAAGTCCAGACCTTCACCTGACTTGAGCACTTAACTCCCGCCCCTCCTCAACTCAGCTCTCACTGGGGAGGACTCAGCCTGGAAGTTCTTCATGTAGCTACTGATCTCTCTCTCTCTCTCCCTCCCTCTCCCTCCCTCTCTCCCTCCCTCTCTCCCTCCCTCTCTCCCCTCTTGCCTCCCACTCAATGCGATAATCCCTCCTGCACTCCTCAGTTAAAATCTGGTCCACATTGTTTGTCTCCATCATATTCCCCCACTGGCCTTGTTTTGTGGCCTGTCAGCAGACTTCTGGAAAAAGTACAGCCAGTTAGAGTTCTGAGACATCTCAGTCATAAGGGCTCCAGGTTGGCCAGTGCTATTCCTCGCTGCTGCTCCTTTGGTGTTTGTAGAATTGTCATTTGTGACCTGATGAGCCAAAGGTGTTTTCTTCCTTTTCACCCTGTGCTGAACAAAACAGGAAAGGGAAACAGCCAAACATCTACCTACTTCATTGTTCACAGCCACACAAAGTGCAACTTAAGAAACATGTGAACATCAAGGCTTTGTAAATAAGTGACCTGTAGAGAAAGGGACCTCATAGAGCTAGTCCTATGTTGATCAGTATGTTATCGGTTCTACTGCTTTCAAGAACAAAGAGTTTTGTTTTTGTTTTTGTGCTGGTCCTGGGGCTTGAAGTGATGGCCAAGGTGCTGTCCCTGAGCTGTTCTGCTCAAGCCTAGCTCTCTATATCACTTGAGCCACAGCTCCACTTCCAACTTTTTGTGGCTAATTGGAGATAAAGGTCTCTTGGATTTTCTTGCGTAGGCTTTGAACTATGATCCTCAGATCTCAGCCTCTTGAGTTGCTAGGTTTATGGGTGTGACCCACTGGTGCCCAGCTCAAAGTCATCTTTGACTTTTTCTTCTTTTTTTTTTTAATAAAAATGTACAATTACAATTTTAGCTGAAATAGTCTTTCATTAAAAAAAACAAAAACCAGCTGATCACCAGTGGTTCATGCCTGGAATCCTAGCTACTCAGGAAGCTGAGATCTGAGGATCACAGTTTGAAGCAAGCCTTAGGTGGAAAAGTCCATGAAACTCTTATCTCCAATTAGCCACCAAAATTTAGAAGTGGAGCTACAGCTCAGATGATAGCGTGATACTTTTGCAAGAAAAAGCTAAGGACAGCATCCAGGCCCTGAGTTGAAGTGTGTGCACAAGTGCGCGTGAACACACACACACACACACTTCTTCCATCTGCTGTTTTTGTTTTTAAATAGAGTAATGGAACAGGAATGGACCTTTACTTCCTTTGGGTCTTTGCCCAAAGGTCACCTTTTGAAGACTTCCTTGATACCCCCTCACACTTCCAATTTAAAATTGCAACCTCTCCCTCCCTCCCTTTCTTGCTGTGTGTTTTATTACAGTTATTTCCATCTCCTGGCATCTTTTTTGCTTCTTCATTTATGCTCATTGCCCATGTCCCCTCTTTAAAACATTAATTCCTTAAAAACAATAGATTTTGTGTGTGTGTGTGTGTGTGTGTGTGTGTGTGTGAGTGTGATCTTTGTCTACTCTCTTATCTAGTGCCTAGAATGAGGCACACAGTAGGTATTCATATATGTTAATGATGTGCAGGGTAACACACAGTGGGAGCTTTCCTCTTAAGTCCACATTGGTCACCTGGCCGAGGGTTACTAACCAAGGGTCACCAACCCTTGGTTGGGGTTGATGAGCTTTGGAGCAAAGGAAAGTCATGATCAGGTGATTTATAAGATTGAGTAAAAGAAGAAACTTGGAAACAATTGAGGCTGACTAAAGCTTGAGTTACCCACTGGGGTAAGTTCCTGACCAATCTCTACTACCTTTTGCTTGGCACTGTCTGTACGGATGTGACAATGATAGTCGGCTGTTGGCAGGACCAAAGGGAGCTGGAGAATCTTCTGCTTGACACACTTGAAAATGGAGGGTTGGTTGGAATGTAACCTGGTTCTAAGTAGAACAGTTGTCTAAGAGATGAGCTTATTGAGCTGTTGAAGTCGATGCCCCCTGTGTGAGAGGGAGCCAGGTTTCCAGAGATGATGAGTAGTCAGGATTTGAAGTTGGTTTGCCAGTTGGACCTTGGTGACAGCCGTTGCGTCCGGAGCCGTGCAGTTCTGTTCCCTTTCGTGGAACTGTGTGGTCTTGCGCATTGGTGGGATCTCAGCAGGGCTCTGTGCAGCAGCCACCTGCTAGAAGCATCCTGGTGAGCCTGTGGGTTTTGTTTTTCTTGCCCTTAGAGATGGGATCCCTCCTTACCGTGTGGGGAGTAAGAAACAGCTGCAGAGAGAAATGCATCGCAGTGTGAAGGCCAATGGCCAAGTGTCTCTACCTCATTTCCCGGTGAGTATAGACTGGAGAGGCCGCTCGCTATTGGGCAGAAAAGGGAGGGGAGGTGTGGGAGGGAGGGTGGGGAGGAAGGCAGGTCAGGACACAGGGGGAGGAGAGAGAAAGAAAGCACTGAATGAGGGCTTTGTGCAGTGCTTTGGGGGTGTGATGTTGGGTATGTTGTTGTGAGGTTGAAGGTGACCCTCCCTTTAAAAAAAAAGCTTTACATTTCCCTAATTGAAAGACAAAGTTCTCTGAGAAAGAAACCCACACAGTTCCTTTTCAGCGATCAGGTACTGCTAGGAGGTGATCAGTGAAGGACTCACAGCCTTCCCACTGGAATGGAAGCCCCCTGAGGGGAGGGCGTTCGGTGTGTTAGTTTCTTGTGAACCTACTAAGAACACTGACCCACAGTAGGTGCTCTGTGATCACTAGCTTGAGGGAATGGGTAAAGCTGGAAGAATTCCTTTGGAGAGGAAATCATGCTCTTGGGGCTTTTCTTGTTGACCATCTAGCTCAGTCCCTTCACGCATCCATCCTACCTAATTACATCGTCATTTCTCCTAACTTCTGTAAGCTGTTCAGTCCTTTTCAGACCCCAGAACTTGGCTCAGGACATTCTAGTGAGTCTGTTGCCTAACAAATGCTGAATGAATGAAATGCTTGGAAGAGCTGCTGTGTGAAGGGCTTTTATTTGCACGTTCCTGAAAGCAGCCTGTCCCCAAAAGAGGTCTCCCCCATCACCATTCCCCGTGTTGGGACTGAGTGTCTCACAGTAGCAGGACCAAGGCCGTGCTTCCTCAGCGAAGAGAAGCCAGTGTCCAGCTCACACCGAGTCCTTCCTGCTAGTTTCAGAGAACCTGGTTGATCTGTCTGTATATGTTGTGTTCAGAAAATTAACATCCTGAATCGCTAATGTCATACTGCGTTAGTGCAGATCCTGGCTCTTCTCTGAAAGCTCATCATGACAATAGCCTTAAGGTTGTCTTAAAATCAGAGTATCTCCCCCTCCCCCACTTTCATAAAGCAAGATAAGACAATTTTTTTTTTTTGTACTAGGGGGTGAGTGGCTATGTGTATTAACAACGAACAATCCTATTGCCCAAGCTTGTGAGTGAGATGATTTCCTCCTGGGGGGCAGGGGGTTGCGTGCAAATGGACCTTCTCCATCCACAGTGCTTTGATGGGGGCTGGGGCCGCACAGAGTTGGGGGGGGGGTGAAATGGGCCGCTCTGTCCCCTCTCAGGTGTCTGCAGAGAGGCCGGCCCTGTGTCTGGTGGATGATGCTGGCCTTTGCAAGTTGGCCTTCTGCCCCTCCCCATCCCAGAGAAAAGGGCAAAAGCAAGAGGGAGATGAGGAAGGAGGAGGAGGTGGGGGGGAGGGGGGGAGGACACAAGTGGAGAGGTGGGGGGAGCGAGATGACAGAAAAAGGACAGAAAGCTGGGCGGCGGGAGTTCTCTCTGTCTGCTGCTTTTGGCAGGCATTCTCGGTGCTTTTTTATATTCTTCACTTGATTTGGAGATGTTCCCTTTTCCCTTGATAGCTCGGCTTCAGGCAGCCAAGCTCAGCAGTGTTCTGCTACTAGCCGGCAGCAGCTTTCTTCATTTTCCGTACAAAGAGACGGGAGGAGGGAGGAGGAGAACGGGGGAGATGGAGGACAGGGCTGAGACAACACCACCTCAAAGGTGCGCAGTGTGCGGCCAGGAAATAAATTACCACTTCTTCTCTGATCTGGGGCCGCTTGACTTTTTTTTTTTCTTCCCTCCTTTCCCTTTTTCCTCCCCCCTGCCTCCTTTCCAATCTTATTTTTTTTAATTTCCAACTCCCTTTCTGTTTAGACTCTACTTTTGATTCCTTGAGTTGGTTGCTCTCCCCCCCCCCCCCCCCCCCATCTCAGAGGGCTGGCTTTTTTTTTTGATGTTTGACAACAGTCTTTGAAGATTTTCTACTTCAGAGTAGCTACTGATGGGCTGGTTGTACTACAGAGAGAACAAGCAGGGCCTCTCGGAGTGCGACCAACTGCTCCCGCCCAAGGCAAATGCTGGTGGCGACCATGGCTCTCCATGAGGCCATGGGGCCGCTGCATAAAAATCCGGAGCTGCCCGGGCCCCCTCGCCAGCCGCCAGCCGCTCTCCGCCCAAACATGGAGACCGGGCACACAACGCTGGGCCTAGAGAGCTCCTGCCAGGCCGCCGTGGCCAGTGTCCGCCCGGCCTGCTGACTGGGCCTTGTCCCTCTCCTCCCGTGTCCCTAGAGAACGCACCGTCTGCCCAAGGAGATGACCCCCGTGGAACCCGCCACCTTCGCGGCCGACCTCATCTCCAGGTTGGAGAAGCTGAAGCTGGAGCTGGAGAGCCGCCATAGCCTGGAGGAGCGGCTACAGCAGATCCGAGAGGTAGCTGGCTCCCCCCCCCCCCCGGGCCTCTTACTGAGCTGTGCCTGCAAGCCCTGGGTCTTGGGGTTCTCCCCTCCACCCCACCCCCCTCCAGCTTCCTGGGACACGTCCCTTAACTCACTGCTGTTTCCACTTTCAGGATGAAGAGAAGGAGGGGTCTGAGCCGACGTTGAGCTCACGGGATGGGGTGCCCACCCAGCACCCCCTGTCCCTCCTGCCCTCTGGCAGCTATGAGGAGGATCCACAGACGATCCTGGATGACCACCTGTCCAGAGTCCTCAAGACCCCTGGCTGCCAGTCCCCGGGGATGGGCCGCTATAGCCCCCGCTCCCGCTCTCCGGACCACCACCACCACCACCACCAGTCACAGCACCTTCTCTCACCGGGGGCCAAGCTGCCGCCTGCCGCCACCTGCCAGCTCCTGGGGGGCAAAGGCTTCGTGACCAAGCAGACGACAAAGCACGTCCACCACCACTACATCCACCACCATTCGGGGCCCAAGACCAAGGAGGAGATGGAGGCAGAAGCCACACAGAGGGTGCGCTGCTTCTGCCCGGGGGGCTCAGAGTATTACTGCTACTCGAAATGCAAGAGCCACCCCAAGGCTCCGGAGCCCGTGCCCGGGGAGCAGTTTGGGTGAGTGGTAAAGAGGCACGGTGACCTGGGCTGGGAAGGTGACCTGGGAGGGAGCGTTTCTTCCAGCCTGGCCTTAAAAGGTCAGGAGCATTGGGCAGGGGTGGGGTGGGGTGGGGAATTAGAGGCCGCAGTGGCAGGTGTCTGGGTCCTTCAGCATGGTCCCCCTCATGGGGTTATTTGATCTAAGGTGTCCTGGAGGCTTCATGGGGTGTCTCAATTGGACCTGGTCCTTGGTCTCCCCCACAGTGCAACCAGAAGCAGCACTTTGCCCAGACGAAATGGGAAAAGCACGGAGCCGGGCCTGGCACTGCCAGTCAGGGAAGGAGGGCCCCCCGGGGGAGCCGGAAGTCTGCAGCTCCCCGCCGAGGAAGGAGACCGGTCGCAGGATGTCTGGCAGTGGATGCTGGAAAGTGAGCGGCAGAGCAAGCCCAAGCCTCACAGGTAAACACCGCCCCCAGGACTGGGGACAGACTCCTGGTGGGGTGGCTATTTCTGCACTTGGCCCCCGAACAAAATGGGACTGTTTACTCTTGCCATCTTAATATTAGACACTGGATAGAGCAGACCACAAAAATGTCATGTGTTGGCAGTGACCCCTGTGCATGTTACGGTAGAGTTATTTTCTCCTTTCTCTCTCTGAGCAGAAGAGACAAGTTGCTGTTGAAGTCACATTTTCCAGTTTTTCTAACCCACTTTCTTCCCTCCCTTTGCTTTCTCTCTCTCTCTCCTCCCTCATTCAGTATCCAGAGCGCTAAAAAGGCCTACCCCTTGGAGTCAGCCCGGGTGTCCCCAGGAGAGCGAGTCGGCCGGCACCACCTGTGGGGGAGCAGCGGGCACCCCCGCACAGCGCCCCGCACCCACCCGTTTACCCAGGACCCTGCCATGCCTCCCCTCACCCCACCCAACACGCTGGCACAGCTGGAGGAGGCCTGCCGCAGGCTGGCGGAGGTGTCGAAGCCCCCAAAGCAACGGTGAGTGGAAGCGGGGCAGAGGCCAAGGCCCGGGTGTGGGTTTGGAGGTGGAGATAGAGCCTGCTGCTTTTGGGAAGAGTCCTTCTCCTCTCCCTGGGTTTCAGATCCTCCTGGGAAGGAGGGACGACTTCTGGCTGAGTTCGAGTCCACACTGTCGCCTCTAGCAGTTGTGTTCCCCATTAGTTCTATCTGTGTGGCCAGAGCTCAATCATAATCTCTTAGGCAGGTTCAAGCCTAGAGAGAAGAGGATGGTTTCCATAATTCCTTACGAATCCTGTTTCTTGAGAATGGCTGGATCATTTAAATATGGTCAGCTGAGCAAGGAAAGTCATGACTGGTGGAGAATTAAACATCTCAAGCCCTTTGCAGGACTGGGCATGTCCTGTCCTGGGCTGCCAGGGGTCCAGCAGGACTTCCCAGTCATCTGTGAACACAAGGCCTTGGTTGGGCTGGAAGTTGGGTCTGGGTCTCTTCTGGAGAGTAGTTGCCTGTCTATTCCCCAGGTGTCCTGGGGCCAGCGGTACACTTCTTAATCACTCCTCCTCGCGTGTGTCCTCAGGTGCTGTGTGGCCAGTCAGCAGAGGGACAGGAACCACTCAACCACAGGTCAGGCGGGAGCCCCGTCCTTCTCCAGCCCAAGCCTGGCTCCAGAAGAGTGAGTGTCCTATCGGGCATGACAGAGATGTGCCTAGTGCTTTCCATTTCAGGCCACTTAGGATCTGGAGTTGTACTTTTGTTTTTCTTGGTCACGGCCCTTGAACTCAGGGCCTGCGCACTGTCCTTGAGTGGTAGGCTAGTGCTCTACCACTTTGAGCCACAGCTCTACTTCTAGTTTTCAGGTAGTTAATTGGAGATAAGAGTCTCACGTCCTTTCCTGCCCAGGCTGGCTCTGAACTGCAGTCCTCAGAAACCCAGCCTTCTGAGTAACTAGGAGTACAGGCATGAGCCACCAGCACTTGACTTTGTTTTTGTATTTAACTGGGTCTTAAACTTTAGAGCCTTGCACTCTTATTTGGCTTTTTTGCTCAAGGATGGTACTCTAACCACCTGAGACACAGCTCCACTTCTAGCTTTTGGGTGGTTAACTGGAGATAAGAGTCTTATGGACTTAATTGCTCAGGTTGGCTTCAAACCATGATTTTCAGATCTCAGCCTCCTGAGGAGCTAGGATAACAGGCATGAGCTGCCAGTGCTCAGTATTGGAGTGTGTGAGACTTTAGTACATGAGATGACCTTGAATTTACTGGTGGTGTTAAGCAACAGTAAATGCAGGTGTTGCCAATGCTGAGGATTGTGGGAAACACAGCCTGAGAAACATTACATTAAAACCTAAGATTTCTGGGGCTCATTCAAAATTCAAGACATGAAGCCAGTAGCCAAAGGCTGAAAGGAATTTTGAATCCTGGTGGGAAAGTTGCCCTCATTCGGCCTGAAGTTAAGCAGATCTGGAAACATCTTTGTGTTGCTAGTGAATGGGAAGATAGTGCTCCACTATGATGGATGTGAACACGACCATCTTCGTGTTTTGCTTGGTGAAAACCGTGTCTTTCTCCAAGTTAGGCCATCATTTTTTCTTTAATTTTAAATTTACATTCTCAAGGGCACAAGCCACCTCCTGGCACAGTTTAAGTAGAGGATGCATTTTAAGAAGAAAGTCTGCAAAGGGATCTAACATGGTCCAAAGAAACTTTTCTGTCTTGGCCTCTTCATTCTAAGAAGGGTTTGGAAGTCTTGGATAAGCTCCTTCCTAGATCCATCCTTTGTTTTATTTTTATCAATTTTGTGCAAGATCTAGAGCTTGAACCTAGGACCTAAGTGCTATCCCTTGGCTTCTTCACTCAAGGCCTATGCTCTACCATTTAAACCGCAACTTTACCTCTGGCTTTTGGCTGGTTAGTTGGAGATAAGAGTCCTGTAGACATTCCTGCCTGGACTGGCTTTGAACCCACTTCTCTTTTTTTTCCCCCAGCCTCCTGTGTAGGATTACAGGGCTGTCCACCAGTGCCCTGTTTGAATTGGGTGACCTTCAGTCTGCCAGATGTTTGCACCAACAGCTTTAAAAAAAAAATAAGTCCACTCTGTAAGAGCTCAGAATAAATAGGATGATGGAAATGTCTGGGGACCATCCTCCTTTGGTTACATTTGTTCTGACTTTTTTTTCCCCTGAGTTCTTGGCATCTCTGGAGGTTCTTGTTCTGCTTCTGCAGTTCCCCCTGGCTGGGCTGAGCGCTTGCTGTCCCCTGTGGCTCTTCATCGTCCCTCGGGAGCAGCCCATGTATGCTATCCCGAAGGATGCTGCTGTGTCCCATTTGATGGCACAGAGGGCCACTCTGTATAACTGAAAGGAAAGCGTCTCTTCCTGCACACTCTGCACCCTGTGTGGGATTGGACAATGGGTCCCCAGTGGCCGCCTCTGTCACGTGAGGCCCTGCCCGCCCCAGACCTCCTCCAATCCCCAGCTGCAGCCTCAGTGTTAGGAGACTCTGTCCCAGGTCTCTGTGTGCTTTCTTTAAATACACGTCTACATTTAAAATGTTGAACTTGGTTGCCTTTTGTCTTGTTTTCAGTCACAAAGAGCCAAAGAAATTGGCAGGTGTCCATGCGCTGCAGGCCAGTGAATTGGTTGTCACTTACTTCTTCTGTGGAGAAGAGATTCCATACAGGAGGATGCTAAAGGCTCAGAGCTTGACGTTGGGCCACTTTAAAGAGCAGCTCAGCAAAAAGGGAAATTACAGGTAAGACTCTTGTGGCTTTTTTTTTTTTTTTTTTTTTTTACTTTTTAAAATTTGACCTTAGGATTGGGGAATCTGTTTTTTCTTTTTCTTTTTTATTTGACTTTAGGGTCTAGGTTCTGTCCCAGAGCTTTTTCATTCAAAGCTAATGCTCTACCACTTGAGATATAGCTCTATTTTTGGCTTCTTTTGTTGGTTCATTGGAGATAAGAGTCTCACAGACTTTCCTGCCTCAGCTGGCTTTGAACCAGGATCCTCAGATCTCAGCCTCCTAGGCTAGAGATTACAGGTGTGACGTGCTGGTGCTCGATCCCTTTTCTTTCAGAGTTAGTTTGCTCAAGAGTCAGAGCCTGAGCAGGCCTATATGGGACAGGGTTAGGAGGGGCTGCTGGGCAGGGCAGTGGGGTTCCTTGTCTCTCCCTCCCTCCCCTTGCCTCTCCCAGCAGCAGCTCAACAGCCGCCATGGAAGGCTGAGCTCTTTGGGTCCTGTGAGGGCTCTTGCTCCAGGTGAACAAGACCAAGGAAGAAAGGAGCAACAGATTGCTGGCTTGGCTGTGTGGCAGAGGCTCTACCTGAATTGAGGGTGCTGGAGGGAGAACCCCAAAGCACCTCTCTCCTCCTGGCTTGGGTCAAGGGGAGACCTGGGAAGCCTAGAGAGGAGCAGAGACCATGGCTAGGAAGAGTCACCAATGTTTTCTTTTCTGGGCCCTTCTGCCTAAGGACTTCCTGTCTGAGTTTGTCACGATACCTGAAGCGTGTGCTTCAGAGATGCTCTTCTGTCCCTAACAAAGACAAGGCTGGACCTGGGTGGCACAGGGTGGTAGGGCTGGCCACGCTTTCCTGCCCAGCTCCAGGCTCACTGTCTTCTTGCTGTGACCTTGGGTGGTGAACAAGAACCCCAGGTTCCTTTCCTCATCGGCTCTGTCCTTGAGGCGTCCTTGAGGAAGCCCACACTGACACTGTCAGGCTCTGAGAGGGCGTTGGGAACTGAGGAGGAGGAGGGCAGCCTCAGAACCATTTCTTCCTGAGGAAGGGGCAGCTGATGACCACCTCCGTCTTCCAGAACTCTCCTAATGTGAGTTCTGCTTCCACTCCGGCCTCAGGGACCGAGCACCAGCCTGGGGAAACACTACGATGAGCAAGGCCTCAGAGTTGTGGAAGGTGCGCAGCGCTCAGTGGAGCCCTGGGTCCTGGGCAGGCTCACAGCTGGTGTCCAGTGGATGTGAGCCAGCGCCCACTCCAGAGCCAGGAGGCTTGATGGGGCACCCCGAGGGGCGTGACCTGCCCAGGCAAGCTCACCTGCAGCTCCTTGGAGCTTTGCCACCCTGTCTGTTGCAGAGTTAGTTAACTTGTCTGGCATGATGCCCGGCACAGGGGGAGAGCCGAGCCCCTGCAGGTGACTGACCAGCAGGGCGGGGAGCCGGGCCTGGATCCTTCCCTTTCATACCTGGGAAGAGACAATTCTGAAAAGTTATCAAAGGGACTGGGGACAGGCCTAGCTGCTGCTGCTGCTTTTAATCTTGAAAAGACACAGGTGAAACTAATTACACCAGTGTGGCCCTCTGGGGATTCATTTTGATCTTGGTTTTGACTCAGCTGGACTGTGAGGGGAACTGCAGGTGACCTTCGGGATAGAAGAGCTGCAGAATGCCGCGCGGAGGCTGGTGAGGCTGTGTCTCGCTCAGCCAGCCACTCTGGCCACATCTGGCTCTGATTTTTTTTTTCCCCCTAAGGCACATTTAATAAGCCTGGCTTTGAAGCCCTACCCCCACCCCTCCCCCCTTTAATGCTCAAAGACTGCACAAATGGGTGACTCTCAAATTCTTTCCTGATTGGATCAGGCTGTGGGAAGGCCCTCCCAACTGTCTTATCTCTGCAGGGCTCTGAGTTGGAGGCAGTAACCCTCCTGGGAGAATAGAGGTTCGGGCTGCTTCACCCCATCCCCCAGCGGGGGAGGGCTTGAGCCCCAACATCTCGATTCACAACCCCATGCCCATCCTAATAAAATAAAAGCCCAACGAGGTTGGGCTGTAGAGCCAGGACCTGGCTGGATTGAGTAATCTCAACATGGCAAGGGTTCAGAAAGCAAACAGTTCCCGCCGACGTGCCAGGCTATGGGTGCCAGATGGCAGAAGAAAGCAGCGTTTGCCACATAAAGCATGCTGCCGTGAAGAAGCCCAATTCTCGGAGAAAAGGAAGGCAGGGCAGTGTGTTTGAAGTCCTGGGGGGTGGGGCTTCGGCAGTGCTCTTTCCCGCCCCGCCCCCCTCCCCCCAGGTTGGAAGCAGTTGCGATTATGTAAAAGGTCGATGCATGTTTGCTCAGCCTGGTAGACCCCAGGGGGAAGCCGAGGTCGAGGTGCCACTCTGTGTGGCATGAGCCTCATCGTTGGAAAAAATGACATCCCCACCCCACGGTTCTAGGGCCCTGAATATAGGGGCTCTTTTGTTTCTTCTTCTCAGGCTCCCCTAAGAATATGGAGTCCCCACTCCTTGCCCCAGCTCAGCCCAGCCCAGCAGGGAACATGGAGGACAGAGCTGTCCTACACCCCTCCCGTGTGTCTGGTCCAATTGGAGCTCACCTTCATTAAAGAGGGAAGGTTGAACTGAGGGAGGTTAACTTCTTGTTTTAAAGTGAGTGGGTGGGGGGCGGGGGAAATAAAATGCCAGTCCTAATCCTGAGATACAACTAAATGTGTTTGAGGCTCCCTTGGTCCCAGGGGACCTGTGTCCTTGCCCCTTTGAGTGGCTCCTTTATGGGCTAGAAGTGACAGCCTGCAGGAACAAGTGTCATCTGCCTGAGGTCTGCCCCAGCTAGTGACAGGGTAGGAAGTGACTTTGCTTAATTCCTTCCACAGAGCTGAAGGAGGATTTGGCCAAGGCTAGTAGTTGTTCCAAACGGGACTCTCCTGGGAGAGACCATTGGTCTGTGCAGTGAGCCTTAGAAGAGCACATACTGGGAAGGGATGAGAGGAACATTTGATCAAAGGCAGGGAAGGAATGGGGCACAGGTGGCTTACATGTGGCATCTTAGCTACTCAGGAGGCTGAGATCTGAGGATCACAGTTTGAAGCCTGGGCAGCAGAGTCCATAAGACTTATCTCCAGTTAATTATCTCCCAAAAAGCCAGAAGTAGAGCTGTGGCTCAGGTAATATAGCGTTAGCCTGTATTACAAAAGCTCAGGCCGAGTTCAAGCCCCAGGACTGGCACCCCCCTAAAAACAACAACAAATGAAACAAAAAGGCAGAGGAGGAGGGTGTTTAGTGTTGGAAGCTGGAGGAGGGGGCGGGAGAGGAGGTGTGGATGTGCGGCATTGGTCAGTGCTCTCTCAGTGCTAGACTGAGCCTCGGCTGGCCCAGGAGCGGCAGGAGGTATTCTTACCTGGGTCCAGAAGTGGGAAGGACGAGTGTACTCTGCACTGACAAAGCAGGCGCAAGCTTGCCTGCTCCAGACTTCTGTTTAGACTCTAGCCGTTCGGGTGGATGACTCTGACCGGAGTCTTGGGTCTTGTGAAATAATCCCCTAGCTGCCTCTGCAAATGAACCCCAGGCATCTGCCTTCCCATTCTTCTTGCCTTGAATAAACCAGGGCTGCAGCACTCTTGTGTCAGGCCAGCGTCCGGCTCTAGGGGTTCTGTATTGGTGGAAGGATGTGTCATTTATCCTCGGCCTTCCTGCTGATAAGCTCAGTCGCGTGACCCGGCTCTGTGGCTGGCTGTCCGTGTTGGTGGGCTTTCTTTAAAACAGTGTAAAATGATGGTGTTTTCACAAGCGCTTTCCATTTTCCTTCAAGGTATTACTTCAAAAAAGCAAGTGATGAGTTTGCCTGTGGAGCGGTTTTTGAGGAGATCTGGGACGACGAGACCGTGCTGCCCATGTACGAAGGCAGGATTCTGGGCAAGGTGGAGAGGATCGATTGAGCCTCGGGGGTCTGGCTCTGGGACGCCGTGGAACCCGAAGCTCATGCGACCTGTCTTCAGCCTAGAACAACAGCCACAACACATCTTGAAGGAAAATTAAAACCAATGAAGAAAACAACACATCCAATCTAGGGAAACATTGGCCATTGGGGCCTTGGGGAGGGCGGGGGTGGGGCTGATTTTTCACTCTTCACGAGCTGGGTACTGAGATAAGAAAAGCCTGAACTATTTATTAAAAACATGACCACTCTTGGCTTATTGAAGATGCTGTGTTTGAGAGACTGCCATACATAATATATGACTTCCTAGAGATCTGAAATCCATAAACTAAGAGAAACTGTGTATAGCGTACCTGAACGGGAATCTTTACTGATATTTATTGAACAATTCTTTCTCCCATCCCCAATTTTTGGATATGCTGCTTTAAACACAGAAGGGGGAGAGAGGACGTTTTTAAGTTGTCCTGTCTGAACTTAGGAGCTGAGCATTACGAGTGCATTAATAATGATTTATTTTTTTCATTAACACAGGAACAGGCTGTGCACTGTATTTCTCTTAAGTGATGACAGACTTTTTAAATAATGGTGCCCTCCCATAGATAATACGCAGAAATTGGTGCATTTCCCCCCGCCCCCCCCCACGCTGCTCTACTCTCCTGAAGGTCTTGCGGGCTGTCTGTGTGACACTGTCAGCACCACCTTGGGGTGGTCATGTTGGATGGGGTGATCCATCTTGAAGAAAGGGGAGCCTTCGCCCTGAGACTGGGTCTACACTTCTGTAGCGTTCCCCTTCTCCCCTCCAGTCCTGAGGCCCAGTTAGCCGAGACCTGCTGGAAGCCCGTTTGTGGTTCAGACTTGTGCATTTCGTGAAGTGACAGTTCCTTGTTTTCATTTCATTTTTTTTAAATGAGTGTTTGGACCACAGCTATTCAGGACACTTCCCCTACCCAGCTACCCGCGGGGAGACCTAGCAGCGCCTCTCCTCCCAACCCTTTCGGTTTGATGTCTGGGTTTTGTGTTAAGTGAATCTGTACATTCTGTTTACCGTTGTTCCTTGTACTATACGTCTGTATATAGTGTACGGCAGAGTTTTAATCCACTATCTCTAGTGCTTGACTTTGAATCAGTACAGTACCTGTACCAGCACGGGGAGCTGTCCCGTGTGTCGCCCTATATTGAGGGTTAAGCTTTCCCTTGTTTTTTGAAAGGGGTTTATGTATAAATATATTTTATGCCTTTTTATTACAAGTCTTGTACTCAATGACTTTTGTCATGGCATTTGTCCTACTTATACTGTAAATTATGCATTATAAAGAGTTCATTTAAGGAAAATTACTTGGTACAATAATTATTGTAATTAAGAGATGTAGCCTTTATTAAAATTTTATATTTTTCAAAACGTTGGCCTCCTCTTTTGAGTCCCCCGGGGCTGCAGCAGACCAAGACACCGTTGTGTATGTGGATACGAGATTTGATTTTCTACCTTAGTCCATCACAGGTTGTAACTGGCCTTGAGTCCCTAGCTGCTCTGGGCCAGCCCTGAGGTTTTGGTGAAACTTTTCCTCCAATCACTTGCTTAGCGGCTGAGGCTTTTCTTATCAAGAAAAGCAGCTGTAGAGATGACATCTGCCATGTACTGCTTCTTCCTCCCTAGGTGACAGCCCTCTGAGAATGGATTTGAGGCTGGGAAACTGACTATTGACCTCATCTGATGGTTTTATTTCTGGCCTTCTTTAAGGCTCTGGAGCTGGTCAGCTATCAACAGAGAGAGAGAGAGAGGTTTAGGAGCATGCAAGAGGGGTTCTGGGCCATGCATGGCGCAGGTGTGCTTCAGGTAGCCACGGACATTGGGGAACAGTTGCTCCTTCCAGTGGGTTCCTTTCATATACACTGAGCTGTTGGGAGAGTCAGCCTGAAGTCGGGGATCCGGGGAGGGGAAGAACAGCTCTACTTCCGAGTCCTACAAGAAAAGCTTTTGTAAAATCAAGTCTATAATGATGGCTGGGTGTAGCTCAGTTGGTAGATCCCTTGCTTAGCCTGTGTGAGGTCCTGAGTTTGTGTGTGATTGCATTTGGACAAGAACGTGTGCCAGGCTTTCATGAGGTTGGAGTACTCAGCTCATCTGCTTTGATCTTAGTCCCTGCTGCCCAAATCAGGCCAACAGATAAAGCTGGGCCCTAGATGTAAGGAGGGTGGGGCAGGTGTATATTAAGGAGCACCAGCTTTCTGAGGGTAGATTGAGTATAGGAAGTCGATCTAAGGAGTGAGACTCCTTTCTCATCCACATGGATCAGGAAGGTCAGCCTGTTGTACACGGTAGGGAGAGGGCTGGTAGTGAGGGTTCAGCTTCAGCTTCAGGCAGTTTGACTTAGGAGAATAACGAGGAAAAGGCTACCACCGCTACCACCACCTGAGTGGCTACAGGTGCGAATTCAACATCTCAGCTGTTTTCTGATAGGTAGTGCTTGACTGGTTGGTCACTCATGCTCCTACGTCTTTAAATTTTAGCCTGGTAAGAATGAATATGGGGCTTGAACTTGGGGCCTCATACTCTCCCGGCTTGCTGCGTGCTCACGTTTAGCACTCTTGCAACTGGAGCCATGCTTGCTCACGTTTAGCACTCTTACAACTGGAGCCATGCTTGCAGTCTAGTGTTTTTCTGGTTGATTGGAGAATGAAATCACTTGAACTTTATTACCTGGACTGGTTTTGAACTGATCCTTCCGATCTCAGCCTGCTGAGTCGCTAGGATTACAGGCGTGAGCCACAAGTACTTGGTGATTTGTATGCTGGTCTTTTATACCATCAATCCACTTAAATTGTAATACTTATATTACATTTTCTCCACATACTAACACTGTGTATGTGTGTATGTGTGCGCGCACGCGTGCGCATGCATTGGCTAATCCTGGGGCTTTAACTCCGGGCTTCATACTCTTGCTTGGCCTTTTTTCTCAAGGCTCGTACTCTACCACTCGAGCCACACCTCTACTTCTGTTTTTTTGCTAGTTAATTAGAGATGACACTTCAAACCTCCATCCTCAGATCTCTGCCTGTTGACCATGGTTCATATGTCTTTCGCATGTCTTCGTGTCTATAAGCCCATGTTTAAATTGGGTTATTAGAGTTATTCATTTATCTTTGCTATAGAGTTGGGAGGCATTCCTTGTTTATTTTCAGACTAGTTTGCCTCTCCTAAGAGGGCCCTGTTTTTCTGCTTCTCATTTCAGCAATCAGAGTCTCTTACCCCTCTGTGGATATTGCTCCCAGGGTTTGTGAGACCTTGAACTCGTTTACCACAATAAACCTATGCATGCCCTCTTCTGCACTGAAGGTGGTGGTTTTAATCCACTCTTAGGGAGGTTATGCCTCAAAAGAGAACACTAAGAACCCATGGCTTGGGCTTTCAATCCCTCTTCCCTCAAATGATGTAAGGTTGGGTACTTCCAGAAACTTCCTTCCTTCCCTCCTCCAGCCCTTTTTTTGTCTAGTATGTTCTGAAGACCCGCAGCATCAGCCTTACATGGGAGCTGTGAGAGATTCAGATGTCCCCCTCCTCCTATCCAGCCCGCCAGATGGCCAGGATTTGTTTCTACCAGGTGATTCGTGTGCACATCAAGGCTGTGTTGTTCCCATGCTCGGCCGCCTCCAGCTGCAGCGTGGGTCACATACTTTGGCCCTCACTTCCTTGGCTCTTTCTTCATTGTGCTCTGGTCATTATTAGCAGTCAAGTGCAGACTGGGTCATGCTGAACTTGGCTGGAGTCCTCTGAGCTGTGTCGTGTTGGGAAGCCACGGTTTCCTCATCTGTTCAATGTCCTCTTCGCAGAAATGCTGTGAAGGTACCGTGACATAACATTGTTTGTGCCTCCTGTGGAATTTCCATCCAGCTCCTCCTTCGCTGGCCCTGAACCAAGAAGGCAGTAGGCACACGGTTTCCCAGCTGCTTAATGTAGAAACAGACTCTTGTCCAGAGACACTCTTGGACCCCCGACCATCTTTACATTCCCTGCCCCTTTCCCCAGCATACTGGGGACCAAGCCTAGGGCCTGGTGAATGCTAGAAAGCACACACCACTGGCTCTAGTCATCTTAAAAGTCAACAGAGGAGTTGTTTCTAAACAGGATTTCACTGCCTTTTTGGATAGATTCCCTTCAACTATGACAAGGATCTAAGAGCGTTCTTTGCATCGACAATATTGTCACACCTGCTGTTTTTGCCCTCACAGATAAACAGATAAAAAGAAAGCACAAATCTTTCAATAAGGACACCTTTAGGTTACTACCTCTTGGGAAAACCGACTATTCCCGTAGGCAAGATTCCCCTCCCTGTCCATCTCAGCAATTGTGTCCTCCCGTCTGCCTCTCTTGGCCTACCCGAACTCACAAAGCTAGCTTTCTTTTGAAGCCCATCCTAACCACTAGTTTTCAATTCTACCAAGCCTGGGTCAAACTAAAATATCCAAGTGGCCTAAGTCTATGCTAGCTACAAGATGAAGCTAGTTTTGGACCCTTTCTCTCTCAGTAGAGGCAAACCAATGAAACAGAAACAAAAATGGGACATAATTGTCCCTTCCTCAAACGATCTCAGTGACCAGGATAGAAAAGCTAGTATCAGATCACTAGAAGAAATTATGGAATCTTTGTTCCTAAAGACCTAGGTAGAAACTGGACACTTAGTTGCTCATGCCTGTAATAGGAATTTGCTTAGGCTCAGGAGGCTGAGATCTGAGGATTATGGATCAAAGCCAGCTTGAGTAGGGAAGCCTCCAATTAACCACCAAAAGAAGCCAGAAGTGGAGCTGTGGCTCAAGTGGTAGTGCACCAGCCTTGAGTGAGAAAGCTCAGGAAGAGTGCTTAGCCTCTCCTGAGTTCAAGCCCCAGTACCAGTCCACTGCACGCACGCGCGCGTGTGCGTGTGTGTGCGCGCGCGCGCGCGCGCACACACACACACACGAAAAAAAAAGATCTCCAGGTGGAGCAACCTGTCTTTATTGGTCTTTAGATCTCTCTCTGGTCCGGTCCAAAGACACATTCTCTCTTCTGAGCTGACCATGTCTCTTCCTTTCTGTGTTGGGTGAGCCCCGCAAGTGTAATCCTACCATTTTCTTCCGAGGGGAAGGGCTGACTGCCCAGCTGCTGGTATGTTGGGTGGGTTTGGGGAGGATTTCTATCCTGATGGGGATCTTCCTTTGTTTATGGAGTCGCAGCTCCCACCCTCAGTCAGGCAATGATGTGCGGTGTCTCTCCCCACCAGGGCAAAGTCACTTGTGATAGCCAGCTGTAGAGAAGATTGCGAATTGTCACTGAGCACTTGGCAAGAAGACACTAATAAGCAATTAGTCTTCCTATCAACATGAAAGGTTTGGATTGATACACCCTCCACACAACACCTACTTCTTGGCATGGCTAAGATGGCTACAAGGCCTTTGTTCATTTATCTAGCCTGAAGGAGCCCGGGAGGTGGCTGGAGGGGGAGAGATGCGAGCTGAGGGAGGGTCCCAGCTGCCTTGCAGCTGAGCCCTACTCCCTGAGCTTAGGCCAGGCCCAGTAGGATCCAAGGCCTGGGCTCCTAGATGGGGCCAATCTCACTTTAGGGGGCAAAATAGCTTCACCACCTGCTACCAGTCAACCAGAGGCTAGTGCCCAGACAGCCAGGTCCCCAGGCAGAGGGGCAGAGAAAAATGAAATGAAGAAACTAGATTTTAACCATGAACATGTGACCTTCACTGACAGGAAGAAAGAGTTTAGGGAGTTTTCTTTCCCTATACTTTTAAATTTTTTCCTGACCTCAAAAATAAAGTCACAATATAAACTTGAAAAAAAAAACCGCACACAAATTATAGAACAAAGAAATCCACCTCTAATCTTTTTTTACCTAACTAGTAAATTAAACAAACAATTTCTTTTCAATAAATGCCCTGTTGATTAACCAAGTGTTCTGAGAATCTCGATTTTCAGGATGAATCTCTCCATGTATGCAGATTTCCATTATGGACATTTTTTTGTTGGTCATGGGTCTTGAACCCTGGGCCTGGGCAATGTCTCTCAGCTCTTCAGTTCAAGGTGAGCCCTCTACCACTTGAGCCACAGCGCCACTTCTGGCTTTTTCTGCTTATGTGGTGCTGAGGGCCATGCATGCAAGGCAAGCACTCTACCACTGAGCCACCTTCCCAGACCCCATTATGGACATTTCTACACAGTCTTCACCTTGGTCCAGTCCTGCCTGAGTTCCTCCTCAAGGAAGAGGCTTGAGACAGAAGGTAAACTCCCCCCAGGATGGGCTGCTAGTTCTCCAGAAACTGTGTCATGGACTCTAAATTGGGACAGGAATGGGCTTAGATCCTGCTTTCCTCTCTCTTCTCTAGGAGGTTCTTCTCCTTGGCCATCTTCTG